CAATACGCAGTGAGACGTGTTCGTAAGTAGTATTGAGGAAAAGAATCATACTTTTCCATGATCTATTTTGAACTCTGGTTAAATGAACTGAAATTGAACCGTATTCTTCTATTACAGGCTTCGTAGTCCCTATAAAGGATTTCTTTCTGGCGTGCAATAATTACTATCAGTAATATTTTTGTCTGTCAGATTTTTTAACCAATGATTTTAAACAAAAGTATGATTCTTTTCCTCAATACTACTTACGAATACGTCTCACTGCGTATTGAATGTAGGGCAAAATTATAATGTAAACGCATCAACAATTGGAGAATCTTATTATAGCGAACATCCCAAGTGCATTCTGAGCGATTGTGTTTAAACTCGATCACTGCTTAGTGAAAATATTCTTATAGCGTATCATCTAAAGTCTTCCATTGACTTGCTGGAATTCTTTTAAAGATTAATATCACAATATAGTTTATCATTATTATGATAATAATATCAAAAATAGTAGACAGGCAGGGCAAACAGGCTAGGAGGAGTGTAAGCCTGTCACAGGCAGCCCAGACCTGCAAAAAGTCAGTCTGTTTGGATCTTTGGTTCAAATGCAGACTTTTACAAAGGCTTGTTCAACATTGATCTTGATTATACTATAAATGCCTTCACAAAACAGCAGAGATCTATGAATTACTAAAATAGGTATCTAAAGTACGACATGAATATCCGGGCGTACTATGACAATTCTAGTGTCATTGCCGTAATATCAGGTATCCAATCGAACCTGAAACTCGTAGAAGAGGTGTAGAAATCCCAAGAATCTCACCAGCACAACGGTAATGCCAGAAGTACGAAGTCGGTCGCTACAATGTGTTTTTAATTTGATCTGAATATTTCTCTCGGCCATAATAAGACCTAATAATATTGCAATCTTGCCTTTCGTCAGCTGTGAATTTATACTCCAACACAAGCATGAAACACATCGAACTTCAGCATTAAGAAAAAAAATAATAAAATTAAGAATTTCACTAAAAAAGATTTTTCATCTTGTAACAGATCTGATTCCCATGGAGGGGCGATTTTCTCTCTAATTTTATTATTCTTTTTTCAGTACCATTACGCAGAAGTTTAATTGACATATATCCAAATGCCAAATGGGAACAGAACGGTATCACTGTGCTTGGAGGAAATAAAAAAGGCAATGGAATCAATCAACTCTCGAACCCTTGCGGTTTATATGTTGATGATGAACAAATTATCTATGTCGCTGATTGATCAAATCAGCGTATTGTGGAATGGAAATGGGGGGGGGGGGGCGAGTGGCCCAGTGGTTTCAGGCGAAAATGGACAAGGAAGTAAGGCTCATCAGTTGTATAACCCACAAGATGTGATTGTTGACAAAGAGACAGATAGTCTCATCATCTGCTATGGTTCGAATAAGGAAGTAGCTCGATGGCCTCGTCGAAATGGGACAAGTGGAGAAACGCTCGTCTCCAACATTGATTGTGTGGGTTTGACAATGGACGAGAATGGATCTCTTTATGTCGTTGACTATGGCAAAGATGAAGTAAGACGATATCGAAGAGGAGAATCTCAAGGAACAGTGGTTGCAGGTGGCAATGGACGTGGAAATCGTTTCGATCAACTCTCTTCTCCCGCATACGTATTCGTCGATCGAGATCATTCAGTGTACATATCTGATTGTGGAAATGATCGTGTGATGAAATGGGTGAAAGGTGCAAAACAAGGCATTGTCGTAGCTGGTGGTCAAGAACATGGAAATGATCTTACACAATTGTCATATCCTCAAGGAGTCGTTGTCGATCAATTGGGCACTGTCTATGTAGCTGATGCAGAGAATGATCGAATCATGCGTTGGCCTAAATAAGGCACACAGGGAGGTGTGATAATTGGTGGAAACAGTGAAGGAGAACAATCGAACCAACTCAATTGGCCCATCGGTTTGTCATTTGATCGACAGGGCAATCTTTATGTCGTCGATAACGGAACTCATCGAGTACAAAAATTCAATATCGACTCAAATAACTAAGAGACTTATACTTTCTTTGAACATTTGTATGCATCGCTTAATATTAAGAATCTACTTTACTGCCTTGAAATTCTTCAAAAACCCAATAAATATCACTCTAGATCTAAAATTCTACACATTCTATGCTAAGGAAATCTTGGAAGCCGAAAAAACAAAAAAGTGAAACCGGCGAGGCACGTGGCTGAATTCCTCCAAAAAGGAAGGCTTGGAATGCTTGGGAAAGCTCGAAAGACTTGGAATTTTTCGATTTTCAAGCATTCCTAAAATCTCATGCCCACTGGAACGCTATTGATACGAGTAAGCGTGACATCCGTTCGTCACACGTACAAAGTGTGATTTTTTTTGTTATTAGTTCATTTGTATGAACCAATAAATAACAAAGAAAGTACACTTATACGACCATTAGTGGAAGCTCATATTCTTTATTATTTTAAAAAAATTTTCAATTGTTTTAAGTTTTAAAATTTTTCTATTATTTAAATTTCTTTTATTTCTAGATTAAGTAATTCTTTTTTGTGGACGACACATATATTTTCGAAGAAAATAGTGAGTGTAAGTTTTAAGGCCAAGTTTTCGCCGCTCTCCCCCCTCCCCCCTCCCCATTACAGACACCATAGCAGCGGAAGAGAACATTCCAGACATACCCCCCATTACAGACCTTAGCAATCAATAATAAAAGGTGTTAGATTTTGTCGAGTTTTTTTCGGAAAATTGCTCAAGTTGTAATTTTGAAAAATCATGAACATTATTATTTGTCAGTTGGTTAATATATATGATAGTGTGTAAAATCTTCTGTAGACATGATGAATATGTAAACAGACTTATTTGTCAATTTTTTCAATGATCATAATAATAAGAATGTTAAATTAAGAAAAACGAATTTAAAAAAAAATGAAAAATAATGAGCGGATAGCAACAATGAAAACAAAAAATAGGGCGCCCGTAAAATGAAATAAAAAAATTGTCTTCGAAATGCAGAAATCAGAGAGATTATTATTTCAGTGATTGATTATCGTGCAAAACAATTATGGCCTACGAGAGATTTTTCACTTCACTTTTTTTGTGTTAGTTTAATGAACGTAGAGAGTATATGTGAGTTCCACATTTCAGCCCCAAAGGGACTGCGCTAACAGGCTTTTTTATTAATATTTTTTTAATTCTTACGTTATCGTTCTGTAAGATTTAACTCTAATCATAAAGGTACCATGAAGTGAAATTATTCTTGACGTCTGTTTAAAAAAAACGAAGCAACAGTTACCATAATATTTGTAGGATAAAAATGCGAATTATCATTTAGTTACTCATAGCTATCCTGGGAACATATATCCTGATTCTCTTTTTCCTGTCACGATCTGCGGAGGAAGAAAAGCCCACAATATTACGCCTTCATCTCAATACTCTTTCCACCGTGTTGAATAAATAAATAAACGTGAGAAGTTGCTACAATACTAATTTGAATTTATATGGTTTATCTATTAAAAGAATATATATTAGTTTGTTTCAACTACATCGCAAGGGAATCATAATCTCATCCAGGTCTTTTCTTCCCACACATTCAAAATCCTAAAAAGATAAATTCTGAAATTTTTCGCTGAATTCATATTGATTTGAATTCGAAATAAAATTCTTATGTTTTATTTAAAAATTGTTTCACCATCAGTTGCTGGTAACACACCAACACCAAGTGGATCAATAAGAAATGGACAACCAGTAACAAATGCTAATTCAGCCAAGACAAGTAGTAGTAAAGTATCTGAACAACAATATTTTCGTGTTCCATTCATTTATTCTAATGATCAAACTCGAGAAACAAATGATGAGCAAAAACAGAAAGGATGGCGGTATGCACATTTTGATGGTAAGATATGATGTTGCCGTTGTTTTCTGTTCTTCACTGAAAAAAATCTTTCGTAGGTAAATGGGCTGCACGTCAAATGGAAATTCATCCAAATAAAGAAGCCATACGTGTTACAGGTGTTAATGGTACGGATATGTGTGAATTAAGTTTAGATGAAACAGGCCTAACATCAAAGAAAAGTGCTGAAATTCTTGAAATCGATTTTGAACAAGAATGGCTTAAACATGGTGGTCGAGAATATTTAAATTCACATTCCGGAAGAATCAGTTCAAAATATGTTGTTCAATTACTTCAAAATTATCGTTAAAAAGTGGATTGAATTCACAGTGGACAAAATAAAATCAAAACATTGTCTTTTCTTTCTTTTTTTCGATTGTTAGTGAAACTTTTCTCATGTTGTTTACCAAAAAAGCTTACAAACATCTAACCGTCTGATTCTGTTTTTTTTTGTCGTTATTATATATTAAATTTATTCTTTTTTATTGCTATGTGACAAAGGAGCAGGGTGTGGTTGTGGGTGTGGGATGTGAGTGAGGGTGTGAGCGAAGAAAATAAGTATTCTCATCCACATCCACACCTCACACCCCATATATTTTTTTTTGTTAGAATACATTGACGAAGGTCATTTACTTGTGCCTGCACTGTCGACGTATCTAATGAGAACATATTAATTGATAGGAACTATTTATTGAAATAATTATCGTTATTTTTCACAAGTATCTTGAGCGTTTTTTTCCAGATAATATACATATTGACTTGACATAAACCTCTCCCCAGAATAGAAGGCCATGACCTTTTATTCTGGAAGGGGATTTAGCCCTGTTTTGAGAATGAGAGTATTTGTAATTTGAATAACTGTCTATTATAGTTATGAAATGATATGGAACATATATTGAAAATTTGCATCTCATAAGTCGATTTAGTTTACTCATTCAGCAGATCATACAAATTAAAGAAAAAAAACTTAAACAGCTAATACCATTGTAACAGTTACGTCAGGACTCATATACGTATTTAAATCAATTTGGTCTAGCATTTTCAGAAGTGTGTTAATTGAGTTATTTAATATGTTAGTAGAGATTTTTATTCTTGAGAATGAATATCAGTTTTTACTTATATTTAGCAACTAGTCGTCGTTTCAATTCGATTGATGTTCGTTTTATCTAAAGAATTGTTGTTAAGTTTTTTGTTTGATTATTTTTTAGAAATGCATCTGGAATATAACAATTATGAAAATTAAATCAAAAATTTTCTTATCAGTGCAACATAACTAAGAAAGTGAGAATGTAAACGATTGAATAGAAATATCAGTTTTTACAGACTATTCTCATACTACATCCATGTATCAATTCCATTACAATTAGATCTCTACGTTTATTTACTTATCCAGATGATGTCTGCATTTTCGACATTTTTATACATAATCTTTTGATAGCTGTGTTTTTTTTTCGTAATTTTCATTCTGACATTGTTGAGAGAGATATGCATTAAGGAGTCTACAATAATCGCTCTCCGATATTAGATCCTACAACATTTTCTCATGAATAATACTTTATTAGAACTTATGAGTTAAAACTTCATTTTTGAATATTTTGAAATAATATGTCAACGCTATTCTTATCCTCACTCTCAATCTCCAATGTTGTCGGAGCAAGCATTCAATGGTTAACAGTTGTTTTATCACTATACTTTTCATTTAGTTTTATTTTAAAGAAGAAGATACCACAGAAAGGGATCTCTCAACGAAGAATAAAATTTATGAGATAAAATTCTTTCATCATCTTTTTTTTTAACATAATAGTTTTATTGATCCCATCTTTAGGGTTACCAATTTTCATATACTGTATAAAATAAGAAGATTCTGTCTCTTTTATCACACCTCCTATTACACATTCTCCACAGCGATATGGTAAAAAAGACGTCACAATGTATAAGAAAAATGAAGATTCAAGAACATGGAAATACAAAAGTACCATATAATATAGTTTAGAATGATGTTCACATTATTTCGTCAAAAAAAAAGAGAGAAATGAGAAAGAAAATAAGGGTGTTTCGAAAGGGTGCGGGTATTGGTCTGAGAACAAAAATGAACACTCACCCGTCTCCTCACTCACACACACACACACACACACCCTCGTTATCACATCACTAGTAATGCTAGAATGCAACTGACATGATCGAACAAGATTCCATTAAATTTTTAAAACAAATGAAATAGAATTAGCTCATGTGGTTTTCAAGGTAAGTAAAATTTTTTTAGAAAAAGAAGTCAAAAAAAACTTTTAATAAATTATTAGAAAGGATTGACCTGGATATAAATAATTATGGCAACTATTCTCAACATTTGATAAAATAAAATTGAAAATATCTCATTATCTTTATGTTACTATTTAATGAGATGAGAACTTTTGGTCAGACCTAAGTATTTTAATGTTTATGTCACAATAACAGGAATTTAAACTGATTTTTGCATTGAAAACAAGTTTTTTCTGAGATGTTTGTTTTGACCATGCTGGTACTCTTCGTTCATCAACAAGATTATACTATGAATGAATTGAAGAAAATTGTGGTAATGTTCGAACAAAATTAGTTCTTGTCATTTGTGTCAGTAATGGGACTATTTAGTTGAAATCGTTTAAGTTTTCCAAATACTCTCTGACCGATTTAGACGAAGCTTTTATGACTAAAAATTTGAAAATGAATGTTTTTCTTCAATCTATTTTCAAAAATAAAAAAAACAATCTTTAACAAAATGCTTAGCATCCATATAATTGATGTTTTTTTGTTTACCAATAGACGTGGAAACCTCGGATTTAAATCCGAGAGTTATGTGTACTTCAAAAAGTGAATGAGACAGATGCGTCATCCTAGAATGTGTGAACATGAAAATTATCCTGGAAAACATTTTCTGTAAACACTTGATTTCTATTGACTACTGCTCAACCAATAGGATTTCGAGGCAAGTAGAGTACAGATTCGAGTTTTCCACCCCAGAAAATCTTGAAGTATCATCTCTGTGATCGAAAAATAGAGCTCTAATTGTGGATCAATTAGAGCGTGAACAAACATAGAACCAAAATCTGTTTAATTATCTTTAATAGGTGAGTTAGCCTTCTTGTTTCTTTATGTTTTATATACCATTTTGTAGCTCGTGAAATTCTCTATTGCATGGTATATAATAGTTGGGGTTTTATTTGACAATGATAGGAAAAGTTTTTTACAAAAGCATGGATGGATCGATCTTCGCATAGGAAAGCATAGGGAATAATGACTATTTTTATAATAACTCAGCAATGACTCAGCCAATCATTCTCATCTTCGAACTCGACCGAGATATTGTTGAGACTGAACTGTGTAGAAAATTTTATTGCGATCGGACTCTCCTTTCAAAAGTTATCGTGCAGACGGCCAGACACACTGACCGAATCTAGAGTGCACTCACTTTTTGAGTACACAAAAAGTTTTTATTCGTAAAATGAAAACAAATATATATTTGTATGCAGCTTTTGTTTTTACTTATTCACTATTCGTTCTGTGCTGCGTACAATGATACACAAAAAATGAAATTTAAATGCATTCTTGAATCTTATGATCATTATTTGTGTCACTGTTTGCAAGATATTTTTTTGTCTCTTAGTTTTGATTCAATTTTGACTTGAAATCACAGAAAAATCATATTGGCAAGATCTTATTAAAAAGACTCCATAATTAATCAATTTCTCTTAATTATTACTCTTGTTTTTCCAGTTAACAGAGATTAGTGAAGATTCTAAACAAAATTGATACATTTCACATCTGAATCTAAGTAATTACCGCTGCTATTAACAAGGCACGTCATTCATAGACTTTAAACACGTATGTATTATTTGAAAATATCTGCAACTATATTCATACCCTAACAGATTTAGATTTCTTAAATCTGATCCCCTTTGGTTAAACTTTATAAATAACGTCTATATATGTGATCATATGGGTATAAACATACACACTTACATACGCATTTTATTTCACATGACTCTTTTCGTCGAGAGAATACTGCATATTTTCACTGTCCTTATCAGTAATTAATAGATAGGTTTTTTTCTTAGTTATCAACTATAGTGAGGGCCCGAACAAAGCATAGTCATTTTTATTCTTGGTAGATATATAAAAAAACTACAAATAAAGGTATAAAATGTGAGTTTCTTCTTCTCTTTCACTCAATAAAACATTCACAATTTCTCTTCGACTCCTTAATATATTGGAAAAAAAGGGATAAAGAAAATAATCGTCTTATCAAATGATACGGCGATGAATTTTTCGAAGATTGTTATATAATAGTGCCGACCGGTGGATGAATAGTATTGATATCTGCTGTATTCGATCAAAACGAAAATTTTACTGTATGTAATGAGCATCAAGAATTACTGTATATGTAGCAGTATACATACGTACAAGGAGGTGATTGTACAAAACGTTGATTACTTTATTTAGACTACAATATCAGTTGCGAGCTACATTGTTTGAGATGACGAACCCAAGTGGTCGTTCGATAGGCAATTCGACTCGTCGATTTGAGGGTATCGTGCCCATCGAAATTTCAAATCGAGAGCTCAGATTTTCACTTTCCCCTAGATCAAGGACTCGGCGATGGGTGAAGAACTCAATGCCTTTCCGACTACTTGAATGATTTCAACCTAGAGTTTAAAATAAAAAAAAGAATGTTGATAGGTGTCTCAATTTTGACTGGGAAAAAACTTTCGAATAAATGCAAAGAAACAGATGTTCTTCTTTATCTAAAATTGTCTTACAAGTTTTTAAAATTCTTAAAAGAAAAATCTTTAGGGATTTCATTTTCCTGTAGAATAATTTAAAAGTAAAATTTCAGAAATTTAATATTTTTTATAATTAAACAATCAGTTTTAAGCAATTTATTATCAATTTAAATTTTTGAACAGCAGTCTTTTAGATACAATAATATTTCTAAAGCTAAATGAATTTTCTTGGTTAGGGTTTAAAGGTTGAAGATTCACCAACGGATTTTTTTTTCAAAAAAAAAAAACGAAGAAAAATTAAGTGGTGAAGGAAAAAAAGGAACAAGTATTTGTTTCTAAGACTGATAGGAATATTCTTTACTATTTTACTCTTTTGGTTTTTTCGTCTTTTTGATTCAATTTTTTAGGAAATCACAGGGGTTAGCAAAAGATCCAATCAATATAATGTACATTAAGGATAATCTAATGGGTATAACATTTATAAGACTCATTTCAAACAAACTTTATCCACTCAAAATTAGCTTCAACTCTTAGGATTGTATTTTTTTTTGCT